TTGTGATATAAAAGCTTCTTATAATATCATTAACATCTGTTTGGGCTCACTTCAAAACTTATTGGTGATCCTACATTTTTCCTTCTCAGAAAGTTTTTGTTCTGGTTTAACACTCCAGTTGCTCCTTTCTAAGCTGGAGCAGCCTCAAGGGGAGAGGGGCTTGGAGTGCTTCCGCCTCCAAAATGGTCTGAGCATACATGGCAGTTATCACCCGCCTACGCTTTAGGGCCTTCCCATTGCCAGTTGGGCTAATGCCTGAGAAGGCAGATGGAGTTGGAAGTGCAGCCTGAAGCTGACTCAAACAGTCTTGGCACTGTGGAGGGAAGGTGTTCTAGCTTTGCTGGTTCCCACGGTGGCAGCCCAGGTCTTGGTGTCACTCTTTGAGTGAGCCATATTGGGTGTGCATCACCTTGCAGAAGGAAACTAGACCTCAGAGGAGCAAGGAGGCTGACTCACAAAGCTCTCTCAGAGACTCTTCCCTTGGAACTGTGACTCAGGCTGACAACATCCATTCATCCTCTTGCTTATTTGTCCGGGCATTTACCAAAGTCTCTTTGGTGCCAGACATTGTTCTGGAGACATGAAGATAAAAATGTCTGTTTTCAAGGTGATCCTGTTCGAATGGAAGAGACAAGTAGAGAAATCATTCAAACACGGAGGGAAAAGTATATACTAGAACAGGCATTCTTGATGGGGGCAAAGATTGGTTCTCAGGGAGCAAAGAATGCTAGACATTACGTGACAATGGTAGCTCAACCCTACCTGACTGGATCTGTTCCTTCATATTTAATTTCTCTTGTTGGGGAGAATTTAAATTTCATTCCATTTTTCTCCTTGGCGAGGGGAACAAGAATTAAGAGAAGTTGAGAACACTGGAAGAATACACAGGAAAAAGGTATTTGTGCATAGGGAGTAATGCATGCAAGGTTAACCATGTTGGAAAAGTGCTTTTTTAATGAACTGCAGTGGTTCAGTGAGGAGAGAAGGTAGGAGATTGGACTATGGGGGAGAGGATGGTGTGGCCCTCTGGAGACACAGAGGCTCCAGCTCAGCTCATGCAAAGAGGTGGTATTTTATTCTTAAAGAATTGGGAACTACTGAAAAACTTCAAGTAAGAGAGTAACATATGCAGATTTATGCTTTAAAAATATTCTGGGAAGAAAAAAGAAGGAATTGTATATTGTCGGCACTGGTGAAAATAGATGTGGGGGAGGGGCAAAGGCTGGAGCCCACCCAGGAAAACAGTTTAAGAAGAAACTGTTGCTATGAAAAATGGGGCAGAGCTGAGGTGGGGGCCTCCTCTAGAGCAAGTGGCAGCAGGAAGCTCTGGGAACCTTGCCTGGTGGGCAGATGGGCCAGAAGGGTCTGGATGAGACCGTGTATACGCAGCCACCACCATCATCTATGAAAGTAAGGAAGCCAAGCTAATTAAATAATCTGTTTACTCAAGGCATCCACTTGGGTTTTCTAAGGGAATTAATATCTTGTCTTTTCTTTTTTTAAAGTTTATTTATTTATTTGTTTAAGTAATCTCTACACCCAAGGTAGGGCTTGAACTCAGGACCCCAAGATCAAGAGTCACATGCTCCCCCCAACTGAACCAGCCAGGCACCCCAATATTTTCTCTTTAAAAAAATTGCATTAGGAAAACTTCAAATGTATTTTTAAAATAGAGAAAAATGATGTAATGAACCATCATACATGACCTAGCATCAACAATTTTTTTTTTAAGATTTTATTTATTTATTTGACAGAGAGAGACACAACGAGAGAGGGAACACAAGCAGGGGGAGTGGGAGAGGGAGAAGCAAACTTCCTGACGAGCAGGGAGCCCAGTGTGGGGCTCAATCCCATGACCCTGGGATCATGACCTGAGCCAAAGGCAGACGCTTAATGACTGAGTCACCCAGGCGCCCTGGCATCAACAATTATTAACTTAGGATCAATCTTGCTTCAGCTCTGTTCCCAACGTAATTGTACCCCCCCACCCACACACTGAATTATATTGAAGAAATTCTAGACATATCATTCCATCTTGTAAATATTATTAATGTATCCCTAAATGATACTCTTAAAGGATTTCTAAAATATGTAGCTCCATATCATCACAGTTCAAAATGTTATCAATAATTCTTAATATCATCCAATACCAGTCAATGTGCCATTTCCCTGATTTTCATATACATATATAGTTAGGTAGGCAGATGGATAGATAGAGATGATAGATAGATGATAGATAGATAGATAGATAGATAGATAGATAGATAGATAGATAGATAGATAGATAGATAGATTTTTATAAAGTTGATTTTAATTTGGGTCCAAAAAGATCTACTCCATTGCTTTTGGTTGTAATGTCTCTTAAATTTTCCCTTTCTAGTTTTTGTTTCTGAGAATTTGTTTGTTGAAGAAGTCAGAAATCAGCTTCTATTTCTGTCATAATTTAAATACAGCATCATTTATTCCTGTTTCCATCACAACGTTGTAACAGGAACGTGTTCTTCCTCATTCAAGTACTGCCATTTTTAAATTTTTATTTATTTGCATCCCCATCACTATTTAAACTCATTGAGTGCCTTAAGAATTGCCTTCTTGTTATTGTGAGGCCTCAGCTGCCTGACTGAAAATGTCCCCACCTAAAGTGATCTTAAACCCATTCACTCCTTTTCTGCTGTTAATTCGTCATCTTTGCGATGCAAATTGCAAAATGGTCAAAAAATAACCCCGGGCATTCACTCTGGGTTGCCTAAAGAATGAGCAAACTAGAACCAGTTTCTCCACCTTCTCCCAGTAGACCAGTGTTTATTTTCGTCTGGACTGATGTTTCAACCGAAACTTCCCACAGGCTCCTGGGTTCTGGGTGGCTGGGTTCCAGGTACTGGACAGCTGTTATTTCCCACAACTCGCATAAAGAGCTGATGGCCAAACCCAGAATGCTTGGTGTCCATTGACAAGGTCATGCTCCTGCTTGCCCTGTAAGGGAGAACAATGAAGGGCCAAGGTCTTTCCACGGGCATAAACACCCACCCTGAACGGCCAGCAGAGTGCCCAGTGGCAACTAATATTTATGCCAAGGTCTACTAATCAAATGACTCGCCTAGAATTTTATCCAGAATATAGTAGGTGGTACAGTCTAAAAAAGTGCATGTAATCTGTCCGACAGTACCCTATCCATTTATATCAAAGCCAGCTCTGAAGGGTGATGATAATAGTGTAGAAAAATTTGGACTTTTGACCTCTGTCTCCATACTGCTCTGTATCCTTGCATCCCTGGGCCTCTCACAGCAGCTCCTTAGTAGATTATCATCACCTTGTTGGCCATCACTTAATTAGAAACCTGTAACATAATAAAATTAAATTAAATTTAAAGAAAAAAGAAACCTGTAAGAAGTTTGTGAACCATCAAACAGAGGTATCGAAGCTCAATGTGGAGGATTCTCAGCTGTCAATATAAATTTGAGTGTAGGGGCGCCGGGGTGGCATCCTCGGGCATCTGACTGGGTTTCAGCTAGCATCATGGTCTCGGGGTCGTGAGATGGGTCCCTGTGTTGGGGGGGCGGTGTTCCTTCCCCACTCTCATGCGCTCTCTCTCTCTCAAATAAATAAATAAAATCTTAAAAAATATATGTCTATGTATATATTTGAGTGTAATACTGACTATTTTTATATCATAAGAGGTTGATTTAAGCATTACAGTGTATGGTAGACGGTCTTTAATTCTCTATATGTGGAGCTTATTAGGAGTAGAGCATTGAGGAAGGAGAAGTGACGGGTACATTCCAGAAGTCCCGATCTATGGCAGAAATGAAGTAAATGCTGGTAGGAGAGGACACATCACTTCCTATATTACTCTGTAGACCTTTCATTTTATGTTCATTGTAATTGTTCACCATACACACAGATAGTTGAATTGTTAATTCAAGTTTTTCTTTTCCTCCTTATTTCAGGGTTTCATGTCATAAATGAACAGCTGCTCGTTGCAGAAATGTGACTGTGTTAACATTTAGCTATGATACAGTCTGACTGTAAAAGCTGACTGTTTTGTCTAGCTACTGGACCATTTCATTGTATCCTTAGGTGCAGAAATGAAACAGCTTCCTAACCATTCACAGCTCCCGGGCTCAAGGAATAAAACAAGAAATGCTCAAGAACTTTAAGCATGTCATAAGCAAATACAACACTCTGAAGTCTGAGACTGCATATTTGTAATCCTGACACAGTCGAAAAACCCAACCATGCCGAAGGTGTCCCGTGCGGGCCAGTGATTTAGTCAGACCGCGTTAACAGACGATTCCCTTCATACCAATGTTAAATAGTGAAAATTAGTTCATGACAGTGTGGCAGCCTGGTGTAGTCTCCTGAAACATAATTGACATGGCTCTTCCTCTCTAGAACAGAGGAGAGAGAACCATTCAAACCTGTACTTCAATATCTGGGAATTCATCCATAGGACTGACGTTTTAAGATACAATCAGTGGTATAATGTGCAAGGGATTCTAGAGTTCCAAGCCAACTTCTCTAAGCCCCACTTAACATATATGTTAAAGTTTGCTCCAACCCTGAGTAAAATCTTCTCTATATTGAAAGATAGCTACTTGTGAAGGCCTGGAAATAGGAATGGTCTGGCCCAGTCTCTGTCACTGCATGACTCTCTCCTCCCACAGGTATTTAGGGCGCACTTAGGAAGTGCTGGGCAAGCCCTGTGCGAGGTACGGACACAGGCTAAAGGGCTTGTGGCACCAGCTAGATGGATCACTCACTGATTTAAAACATAGGTCATTAGGCAGTGAGCCCCTCGCCTAACACTAAGGACGACCACATCCCTGTATTAGAATGTAATATCTTACCAAGAGAATCTACTTCCCCAAATAATTATTTCCTGAGACATGATGCTTTAATGATGATGTCCTGAGTTTCTTATTTTATGTATGAATATATGTGTCTTATTACTTTGCTTTTTTCCAAAGAAACCAGTTATGACTCCTTGGCATTTATTGCAGATGAGCAAGAAAGTTCCGGAGCAATTATTTACACTGTGGAGCTTAAGCGCTATGGGGGACCCCTTGGCATCACAATTTCAGGAACTGAAGAGCCGTTTGATCCTATAATCATTTCAAGCCTCACTAAAGGAGGATTAGCCGAAAGGTAAAATTTTAAGAAACTGCTACAATTACCTGTGTCTGAGATGGGTTTCCTTCCTCACAGCTGCGTAGAAACATGCTTCCCTCTCCTGCTTGGTTACCTGTTAACTTTTTCACATCTGCACAAAGGATTGATCCTAGAGCTTGAGAACTCTCAGGCAGAGGTCGGACTTGACTCTGAGGGGCATCTTACAGGCAGTAAAAGACGTCATGGGCTTAGTGTTGATGTTACTCTCTGGAAATGTATACACTTGACCATAGTGGACTGGAGGTGGATTTATATCATGTCCATTTTGAGAGGAGGAGACTGAAGTTCAGGGAGGTTAAAAGGCTTGTCCAGTCCAATTCAGCAAACATTTACCAAGCCTGTATTACCTGACAGTTACTGGGCTTGGCCGCTGTGTTTTCCAAAGAAGATGATACAGGCTTTATCTTCAAAGATTTGGGGAAATAAAGTGCAGTGACCCATCTTCATAATGTCTTGTAATTTAGAATGTCCATTTGTTCTTTTGGCGAAGATGCACACCCACCCCTAGCCCCCGTTAAATTGCATTTCTCTCTGAGACATGTTGTGGTGCATATTCCAAACCTTTCCTCCAGTAATCTAGCTCAGGAATGCACGCACATCATTCATGCTGACACAGATAATGGTTTGTGAAATAGAGATGTAGCACTGCAGAATCTTGGAACTGCAAGGCACCTTGGAAGTCAGCTCATCCAAGATCTTCATCTGGAGGGTGAGGGCACTGAGGCAGCCCAGAAAGGGTTACCCTGTTGGGATGTCATACTGTGATATTAACAGAGACACCTATGATGTGGTATTCTTCAGATGCTCTCCTTTCCTAGCTTCCTCTATTGGAGAGACAGTCCTAGGTATCTCTGTTAGGGAGACAGCAAGAAAAGTTTAATGTAATTGGTCAAGTGTTCTCTGGCTTACAACATAGATATTTCCTAAACTGGAGATCCTTTATGAAAGAATGAAGTGATCTTTTGTTTCCAAAGAAAAAACATTCTTTGAGAGTAGATGCACAGGTGGACTCGTTAAGCAGTCGCTCATAACCTGTGTGATCCCATGTCACCTCTGTTACCCCAGTTGCTGCTGCCTGCCACCCCAGAAGCGAGCTGTGGTCAGCGCACTCAGCCACAGGCAGCCTGTGAGCTGGGCTCATCCCCTCACTCACTGTCCTTAAACTGAGCCAGAACAACAGGAGGCTGGTGCTTGGGACTCCCACTCTACAGCCTGTAACCCAGTGGGAGAGATCTGAGTTTTTAGACCATCCCTGAGTTTGAATGCTTATGAATCTACTACTGCCCCACCAAGTGCTTCCAAAGATGGATATGGTGAACATCAAAATTATAAATTCCAATCTGCCTGCTCCGAATTGGGTGAGGATGGAAAGAGAAGAGACAAGGCCAAAGGTTCATTAGTTCATTGATCAATAAATTTCAAGCAGCGGGCTGAGCCCTTTACCTATGTTTTCCTATTTAATGCTCAGGGCTCCCCTGAGAAATGATTATCCCCATTGTAGAGAGGTTAAAATAAGATATCCAGGTCACACAACTCGAGAGTGGCAGAGTTGGATTAAAATGTAGCACGAATTGATTCTTGAATTCAGCCTTTTCAATCCTTAGAATTACAACAGAGGGACCCTGACACACCAGCGTCTGATGGAGGTCCCTCCCCATCTCTCTGAGCCTCACTTCTGGTGAGCTGGGGTAATGATTGTGTTCAACCTTTTAGATCTGCAAAAAGAAGGAATGCTCCATACTGAATATCACTGCTCTTATTGTCCAACATGGTTTATTTCCTTGGGATTTTTAAGAGGGTTACCAAATGACCCAACTTTCTCAGAATTTAAAAAGCATGCAGGTCCATTTTACATCCTAATTAAAACAGTTTTTCTAATTTTACTTGAAACTAAAAAGTTATTCACAACAGATGCAGTTATCTTGTAACATTGCCCAGGAGAGAGCGAGAAGTGGCTTCTAGAGACCGTTGCCAAGCCTTTATTACTATGAATATATAAAGCATGGCAGGGAATTTATATTCAGTGGCACACAGGGGTTTTTATACCTTTCCTATTACTATTTGGTGTTTCAGAACTGGCGCGATCCACATAGGAGACCGAATCCTGGCTATCAATAGCAGCAGCTTGAAAGGAAAGCCTCTGAGTGAAGCCATTCATTTGTTACAGATGGCAGGAGAGACTGTCACCTTGAAAATTAAGAAACAGACAGATGGTGAGTGGGTCGAGAGCCACAGTTACGGATTTTCAGTGCATTTCTGTCCCTCTGTGTGTCTTTCTAGGGAAATGACTCTCCAGAGAGAGTACTGGAATATCTTCTTATTGAAATTTACTCTCAGACTTAAACTCCTTCCTCTGTCTTTAAAGCCCAGTCAGCATCAAGTCCCAAGAAATTCCCCATTGCTAGCCACCTGAGTGACCTGGGAGATGTGGAGGAGGACCCGTCTGCAGCACAGAAGCCGGGCAAGCTCCCCGACACATACCCGCCCACTGTGCCCAGCGTGGACAGTGCAGTGGACTCATGGGACAGCTCTGGAATAGACGCCAGCTATGGGAACCAAGGTATGTCCGAGCATTGGGGAACAGAGGGCTTACTGTTGAAGCCTGTGTTCCTCAAAGATCTATCTTCTGCTCTTTGGGGAAAAAAAAAAAATCTTTGTTTATTTTACCTGTGTCTGCTTCAGGGCAACCAGATGGAACACACTGAATATGGTAGGCTTGCATTTTCTCCTCCTTAATACCGATAAGTCATGAACATTCATCAAACGCTAACGAGCCCCCATTAGGTCCACTGATGTCTGAGTGTTCAATTCAGAGCTTGTCCTTCATGCTTAGATTAATATGAGGCAAACCATACAATAAAGTGGTTCACTGAAGACAGGCCCCATTCTTACTTTTTTAAGCAGGCGTTCCACAAAGATGGATTGGGGAGTGCTGAAGGTGTGCTTTAAGAGATGAGCCGATGATTTGTGGCCCCATTTATTCCTGCCTCCTCCTGACTTTTAATAGACACTTACACAGGTTTCCTGAATACCCACTGTGCGAGAGTTGTGACCACAATATATAAAAGTATATAGTAGATTTTTCTTCACGGGCATCAGCTTCACGTGAAGTATAACCTACATTAGAAGTTAAACCTCACTCACAGAATGTAAACACACAAAAAGTGTTAGACTGGATACAGACTCACAAACTAAAAGCTTCTTTTAAACATCTGTTTCTTTCCAATGATACGTAGCATGAAAGAGAAGTGTGTCAAAAATTCTTTGTATTTCTCCTATATGGGATTGAGATATGATTGCCCCCATCGGGATCTCTGTTGAAAATATCCTTCAAGAAAAGGATGTTTCAGATTGCCCCTGCAGTGCCTAGAGAATATTTGAATTCCAGGTCAAGCCACAGCCACTTGCCTACTTGAAGGTGGACAGACTGGGCCGGAGTGTTTCGTTTTGTTTTTTAAAGATTTTATTTATTTATTTGACAGAGAGAGAGACAGCGAGAGAGGGAACACAAGCAGGGGAAGTGGGAGAGGGAGAAGCAGGCTTCCTTCGAGCAGGGAGCCTGATGCTGGGCTCAATCCCAACACCCTGGGATCATGACCTGAACCAAAGGCAGACGCTTAACAACTGAGCCACCCAGGCGCCCCTGGGCAGGAGTATTGACTGGGGCGTCCTGGCCATCTTCACATGTGCTGAAAGCTGTAGGTGGGCCACTAGCTACACAGAGGAATTTATTTGGAAGCAAGATATAACAGATACACCTTAAAGACGACGGCGTAAAGCCTTACAAATGCTCATAATCCCTTAGACCTTGCAATTCCATTTCTAGGACTTTATCCTAAGGAATAATTATATCAGAGACAGACAAAGATGTTGTTTTAGGCATTGTTTACAATGTCTAAATATTAGTGAAAAGTATCAAGTGATAGGGAATTAAATAAATTTAGGGAATCTATACACACACACACACACACACACACACAGGGTTTACCTTCTCTTTTTTTGCCTGGTATAAATTCCAGCCTCCAAATCCCTTTTCTGCTCTGATTTAAGTTAGTCAGAGAATAAAATACGTAAACCAAGAGTTGAGAACACATGTTTGGGTGCCAGGGTTTCTTTGTAACTTAGTTAACTGCTTTTTAGGAGGGTCTGTAACCAGTTCGCTCTCTTCCTGGTTCTGCTCGTTTTCTTCTCTCAGCTTACCTTTGCCTAGGTCACTCTTGTCAAGTTCCATGAAGAGGGGAGGACAAGGAAAAGGAATATTTCAAAATCGTTGAGTGGTTACTTGTTAGAGATGATAGTGGAGTTCAGTGGAGAAAATAGTTTGAAGACCCAAAATAGAATTGGAGATTTTATTTATCTGGCAATTAATTTTTCCAAGTCATAATACCTTGTGACAAATTAGCTATGCCACCAATAACTTATGTATTAATTTCTCATTGATCAAATTCTTGATTTCTCATTGCCCGTGAGTTGATGAGCCACCAAAGGTCTCTGATAAAGGACAGAAGTCAAATTCTATCAGAGTAGACTCCGAGGTTTGTTTATTAATGTGCTTGCTTATTTATTGTTTCTTAATATGGAGACTCTCTTGTTACACAGATTTTTTTGTAAGGATGTTACTGATTTTAATGAGTTCTGCCCATAAGGTAATCTGTAAGAACTTAGCTACTCTCAGGGCTGCCTGTCTGGCTTAGTCAGTGGAGCGAGCTACACTTGATCTTGGGGTCATGAGTTCGAGCCCCACGTTGAGTGTAGAGAATACTTAAAATGAATGAATACATTTAAAAACTAAAAAAATAATTTGAAAAAAAGAACTTAGCTCCTCTGTCCTTTTACACCATAGGATGAGGACCCTGATTAGCATACTAAATATAGAGCCTTTCCCACATGAATAAAAAATGAAGAACCATTTATTATTCGTGAAGCTTTTGAAAATTTGAATTCCTAGACAGAGACTAGTAGTCATAATAATATTAAATTGGGCATCAATAAGTTAGAAATCTTCATGAGGTTAAAGAGAGAAGATGGCAATTGCGAGCGAATCACGTCCTCCAAGACGAAAACGCAGTAACAATACTTGATATTTGTAAAACAGCACTTCCCAAGCACTCATCTCAGGTCTCATAAGGAACGTGGACGACGAAAGGCTGGTTGATCACAGGCTCTCAGTGTTAGCAGAGCATTTTGAAGTCAGCTCGTGTGCGGACCCGAGTGCCCATGGTGACCAGGTGCTCCCTGAGGGCTGAGGCAGATCTCCCAACCCGTGCGCCCATGGTGACCAGGTGCTCCCTGAGGGCTGAGGCAGATCTCCCCAACCCGTGCCTGGAGCCCAGAGTTCTCATTTGTATGGAGTGGAGATCTGTCTGCCTGCAGCTCCTGCCTGTTAGTCTCCATTCTACCCTCAAGGTCATTCAGAACTAGACTAAAGCCTCTTCCTTTTGACAGCCCTTCAGATAACTCAAAGACGGCTCTCATGCCTCTCTGAAGTCTTTCCTCCTCCAAACAAAATTGCCCTAGGTCCTTAAAGGTTCCTCACATAAAACTTACTTTTGAGTATCTTTATCATCCTGAGGGCCTCTCTTCTGAGTATGTTCAAGTTTAACTCTCTGCTTATTAAAGTGTAGCATCAGAAAGGAAGCTTATACAACAGTCTGACAGCCCAGAGCAACTCAAGCCTGTCACCTTCATCGCTGAAAATTTTAGAACATATGAAAGCAGCCTATCAACCTCAACATAGAATTGCGATGGTTGAATTCTGTGTGTCACTCATTTTGTGTTTATTGCTTACCAAGATCTCAAAGTCTAGCTTTTTTTTTTTCTTTTACTTGTGTTATTAGGTTAAACCAAGTCTTTCCAGATTGTGCGAGTGAAGTTGACTCTTTAAAAGCAAGGCACAGAACCACATTTTTTCCCCTGTTAAATACTATGTTGTGAGATGTAGGTGATCTCTTCAACCTGTGCCTCCAGCCTCTCAGCAGACTCTCTACCACATACCAGGAAGACCTTGCAAATTCTTATTGTACCCTACAGTCCACAATAGCTGTCCCATTCCCAGTAAGATATCACACCCCCATGACGTGCATCTTCCTCCTTGGGCCCAATGTCTCTGCAGCCACATTCCTTATTCTCTGCTGCTTCTCCAAAATGTCAAAATTGCCCCATTCTTTCATTCAACAAATATGTAATGGCTGGCACAATATTAGGCCAAGATGCAGTGGATATACAATGATGGGCAAAAGATTTGTGGTCTCTATTCTCATGGAAGAGGTAACCCAGCTGAAGGACCAGACAATTAACAAGTCCTACAGTACAAAGTATTAGTTAATGCAGAGAGAAATAGGATAGAGTGATCAAAGCTGGGGGGAAAGGGGTATGTTTACAGAAGTCTCACAGTGGGATGACTCTCAATTCTACTGTGCAGCTCTAGGATAAAAAACTTCTCTAGTCTGCCTCTGGGTCAGCTTCTTCCACTTCTCATTCTCCTGACCCTTATATTCATGCCCTTCTGCCTTATCAAAATCTTATGCTTTGGCCCCCTTCTGTCTTATTTATTCCTCTTTCTATTATTTTTTTAAGATTTTATTTATTTACTCATGGGGGACAGAGAGAGAGAGAGAAGCAGAGGCAGAGGGAGAAGCAGGGAGCCCAATGCAGGACTCAATCCCAGGACCCCAAGATCACAACCTGAGCTGAAGGCAGACGCTTAACCGACTGAGCCACCCAGGTGCCCCTTTATTCCTCTTTCTAACTCAGAAAACCTTTTCCCTGGATTTAGCAAAGGTCAATCAATACAAGGGGAGAATGATAACTTGCTGGTACCTAGAATCTGTCATTCTCATGGATGGTGTAGCTCTTTTGGTCTGTAATTCCTGACTCAACTCAGGTAGCTATGTTTTCTGTCTTATCCCACATTAATCTTTAGATGTTTCTCTCTTTTGAGTGTACTTTTTTCAGCTTTATTGAGTTATAATTGACAAATAAAATTGTGTATATTTAACATGTACAATGTGATGATTTTGATATGCACACATATTGTGAAATGATTACCACCATCAAGTTGATGAGCACACCCATCAACTTACATAGTTACCATTTGTGTGTGTGTGGTGAGAATGCTTAAGATCTACTTTATTAGCACTTTTCAAGTATACAGTACAATATTATTTTTAACTATAGTCACCATGCTCTACTTTAGATTCCCAGAACTCATTCATCTTATAAATGAAACTTTATGCCGTTAGACCAACATCTCTCCATTTCTCCCACTCCCCAACCCCTGGCAAACATATTCTATTTTCTGTTTCTAAGAGTTGGGTTTGACTTTTTTTTTTTTTAATTTAGGTTTTACATATAGGTGAGCTAATACAGTATTTGTTTTTCTGTCTCTCACTTATTTCACTTAGCATAATATTGTCCAGGTTCATCCATGTCCTTGCAAATAGGATTTCCTTCATGTTTATGGCTGAATAATTTTCTGTTGTGTATATATACTACATTTCTTTATTCATTCATCTGTCAATGGATGCTTAGGTTGTTTCCATATCTTGACTACTGTGAGTA